CACCCCAACATTTGGCAGCACACCAGTGTCAGCCTTGGCAGGATAAATCTCCCCAAACTTATCTAACGGCTGTGAACGTTCTAAACTAACACAAGTCTTATTAAGTGTCCAGTTTAAGGGTCTTACACAGAAACATACCACACAACATGAATCAAACATACACTTTATTCATTTACACTAAATGTCAAAAGTACATCAAAACTGATTGGAACTAAGGGCATACAAAACTGTCTAACAATGCCAAACCCAGAACATCAAAATAGTTGCAGGAAAGTGAATGAGTGTGAAAATGTGTTGTTACTAGCTGTGGTAACAACAACAGGAAAGAAAAATCCAAGACAAGATACCACATGGAATCCTTCCCTTCTCCATGTGGCTCTTGAAGTGAAATACAAGATGCCACATGAAATCCTTCCCTTCTACATGTGGCTCTTATAGTGAATGACAGGATGCCACATGGAATCCTTCTCTTCACAACCAAAAAGCAAATTTGACATTAGTCACACATGCAATGGTTAAGATCATTTGATTGCAAACTTGAACATCATCCTCATTTATTAGAAAGTTCCTTGATGAAGGCCATCAAAATGCTACTCCTGATCAACTAATTCCCCTCCTCTATGCAACATTTTTTGGCAGAGCAAGAGCAAGTGTTGCCATTTAAACAGTATTTTAATAACACCTCAAAGAAATGTTCTTGCTATTTCCTTCCTTCCAAGGAAACAGAAAATAATTGGTTTCTGAATTTCTGTACTACAGGTTTATAAGTTCTTTGTATTGCTTTTATAGTATTGACATTAGTTCATTAAAATCATTTTTGTGTGGAGGACAAATCCCCACTCTTATTTTGGAGTCAACTACATGCCTTTATCAGGTATATTTCATGGAGCCAGTGATTCACAAAGAAATGTTGATTGATTATTTATTAGATTCTTTTCCATTCTGCCCTTCCTTGTGACAAGGGAAAACATGAGATTTATGTTTAGAGGAAAGGTCAACCTGCAGGCCGGAATCAATAAAATTGCTCTCCTCAGTGTTTGGTTGTTATTGGCAAGGGTATAATGGCTCAGTGTTTGACTGTATAGTGATTTCTTTGAGCTGGATTGTCTCAGCTACCAACACGGATTCTGGTTATCATTCATTTTTCATATTTTCTCCATATATGCACTTGTTAGTAGAATCAGAATAGGTGATTCGGATTTCGATTCCTGACTGAACCAAACAGGTGTCAGAAATAGGTGATTCCGATTCCGATTCCGATTTCGATTTCAGTCCAGTCCATGAACCAAACGGACCCTAAGTGATTAGTTGTTTATTATTGATTTTGTTCAATAGATAASTGAAACAAATAAGATAAAATAAGTATATAAACCTCCGTCAACAGCACAGAAGGCAAAARCAGGCCCAGAAGAGGATACCATAAAAAACAGAAATAAGCAATAAACAAAACACGAGAACCTATACAAACTACTCTAGGAGTAGGGCCCCAGTATAACTCCAATCTCTCAAGTCTCAACTCCTCACTGATGGATCATCTAGGAAGTTGGCTGATCTAAGCACCCAGATCAATGATATTTCACTCTGGCTGCTAAAGATGTGGCCTCTGTAATGTGATTAAGTAAATACCAGAGACCTTCAACACCATCTCTCGTCCACCCTACGAGCTACGACATTCTGCAAGTCTCCCTCCACCTTCCTGTAGCTTGAGTAAACCCCCATGATCTCTGTCCAACATTGTAATTTTCAAAAATGTAGTATCTTAGTTGCTTAAGATTTCTTAGTGGTACACCAAAAGAAATGTTGTTACTGGGTCCATCTCATTCTTTTGAACATGCTATTCATTTTTTAATTGGCAAAAGGCAGAGCAGTTGATGATGCAGCTAGATGGGTAATATCAAACTGGAAACATGAGATTTAGGAAAACCCCCTTCTTTCAATGCATCTATGCTTTCCTGTGATACAACCCAGATCACTGCTTATGGAATCATTTTCCAAATTGCATTTCCTTTCTTACTCAGTGCTTCGATGTGCCAGCATTCCTTGAGAGCAAATATCTTTACAACTTTCACCCCCTCTAATTCAACAGGTTGTCCTTACTCCTTAGCGAGATAGGCGGTCCAGACAAAGAAAACTTACCTTTGAGCCTTTGAGGTAATATATTTGCACCATATTATGCGTTATGCCCATGGGAAAATCCTGCCTCTTCTTCTGGGGGTTAATTTGTTGTAGAAAGATTTTACAGTAAATTGCCTAGATTTTCTTCCAGCCACACTCTTCTATCTTCTAAACTAGTGTCAATTTGCAAGCTCTAGAGATCTTCTAAAAAGGGGATTCATGTATACAACTTTTTGTTCCAGCCACACTCTAGTCTCTAGACTCTCTACCAAGCTAAACACAATCGTTTCTCTTCATTTCTAATAAAGCCTAAACTTTTTGTAGGTATTCGTAGGAAATTATACATTCACTAAATTTCCATGGTCTAAGCAATTCCAAGCAGCATTTGAGAGCATGGGATAGATACCCTTTCCTTTTGGAAGAAGGCTACGTTATTCTTGGAATGTATAGAACTTAGCTTTCTTTCAGCCCACGTGTCGTCGACATAGCTGTGCAATGAATTTTTTTTTTAATTAAGACAAACACAGCTTGAATACTTAATTAAACTCATAACCTTAAGAGCTCTACATTGGGCCATCATATATAAAGAATTTTACTCAAATTATTATCTTTTCCTACCCTTATTTACACATGTTTTTTTTTTTTTTTTTTAATATTCCTCTCTGCTAGTCTTTTTCTTATTGGTAAATCGTAAATGGTAATCAATCACGTGTGTGACCACTGACCAGCTTTAGAAATTTACTGACGTAAAAGAACGCAATAACACTGTTTTCACGTTTGGAAATCATAAAAATCCAAAACCATTGTGTGGGTCCCAGGTTAAACCCAAAGATGTGGTTTGAAAAACACCGGCTAGGTTATCTCGAAATCCCCAGAGTGGGGGAGAGAGAGAGAGCAAACAGATTCCACAAAAATAAAAGAGTCTTTTCTGAAAACTGATTTTCCAAAACCGAAAACGTCTTTTCTTCCACTCGTAGCGRACGGAAAAAACTCTCGCCCCGTCGCCCCGTCTCCGGCGATCGCCTCCCCCAATTCCGGCTTTCTTGCTCATACTTGTTGCAGGTGAAGCTCGCTTCTCTCCTCTCTCCCACTCTCTCTATCTATCGTGTAAACCTTCAAATTCCCTTATTATAAGCTTATTGAAGATTTACCCCGAATGGATCTACCATCTGAATCTCATTACAGGAAGTTTCAATCTATGCGCAGCTTTTTCGTTCGAGATCCATGCACGGTATCTTCTAGGTTAGCTCAAATTTTACCTTTGCTTGTGAGAACTTCTCCCCTCCCCCGCCTCTGAATATAATTTTTGTTTTTGTTTTTTGGTAGTACTGAATTTAAGTTCGATGGTTTTTGATTCAACTATGTTTTTCTTTGATCCAAACTTGGTGCTTATTWTACGATTTCTCGGAACTGAAGTAGTATTGAGTTGGGAGGTGCTCTGGTTAACATCCCCCTTCAACTTTTCGCTTCCTTTGAACATCTGAGCAGTTGTGTTTGTCAGCGTTTCAAGAATATTGGGCTCTTTGAGTTGGCCAGCTAAGCACGAATTCGTTACTACCGAGGCTCTGATCTTATTTTAGACTTTATATTGTATTTCTAGGGTTTTTAGTACTTGTTTCTGCGTCCTTTTTTACCTATTCTGTGGTGGCCTCGAACGAATAGGATCTGATATTTTCTTCTGAATTTGCAGAAGTTAAGGAGGTGGTTTAGAACTCTCATGAAGATTATGTTACCGGTATCTTCCTCATCTGTTTAGCTATGGTTTTGCTTATAAAAATTTAGTGTAGGCAATTCTAACTTTAGGCTTCTCATCCATGAAAGGTTCAAATTCTGGACGTGCTCCCCTTCTGGATTAAACACTTTTCAGTSTAGGACAGGTGAGATGAACATTCGTTGGTGCGTAAAGATCATGGCATCAAATAAGCACTGTTTTTTATGGATTAACCTTTGATGTTCAAGCTGCTAGACTACTGTTTGTATAATTTGATTACAATTTCCTTCAACCTTACAAATAAAAGAAAAGAGGCTTTTCTTCTTCCATTAATCATTTTGTTATGAAGAAAGTAAAGGACGGTTAAAGATTATAAAGTGATATTATGGTCCTCTCCATAAAATCCGAGATAAGGCTGAGATTTTTCTGTTCTCTTTTATGGAGAGTACATGTTCTAGGGTCCCTGTTGAAAAAGTTCTATTGTCAGAATCTATAATTTTTAAGAAATGGGAAGCTGGATATCGTATTTTTTAGGCACAAAGCTTATTTCTCATGGAACATTTTATATAGTTTAGAAGAATTTGGAGGCATTTCATATCATATATGTTATTCACAGGCATAATCCTTTTGCAATATGTCCTTCATCAGTGTTTTGAAGGTGGTGGATAGATTACCAAAAAAAGAAAAAAAATGGAGGGTGGATATGGAGCTTATGTGAAGCTCACGACTCTGTAGCATGGTCTTGGAATATTGGGGGCTATGATTATTGAAAATTTAAACAATTTTTCTTTTGTAGGGAAAGACTRCTGAGTGGAATTGCAGGACGGGTTCTGCATAAACATAATGCAGATAGAGTGGAACTGTAGAGCAGGACCTGCATAGATGATGTCAGATAGTCTGTTGTATGAGGCCTTGTTGAATTGATTTAATCTGACTTAACTTGTTAAGCATTATGATTTGAAGATGCAGGGTTGCCAACAATCCATGGGACAATGATGAAACCATAAAAAAGTGGCTGCTATTATGAACATAAAAATAATGTTGCTATCCTAGATGAACTTCAATTATTAATACATAACAACAGATGTTGATCAAAAAAAAAAAAATACATAGCAGCAGATGAATGAAGAGTTTCTAATGGTTATTTGGAACTATGTTTTATTACCTGCTCAATATAATTTCCTCACTAGCATTTAATGTTATTGTAGAATCTAAATTTTTCTTTGTTTCAATGATAGATAGAAGAACTAATTCCTCTTTTGGGGGATCCTATATTCACGTCRTCTGTACAAGTAAGGAACTTTCCTTTTTCTAATGTACCTGTTGTTTTTCTTTTCATCAATAAGTGATTGGCCAGGAGAGCTAGATGTTTCAGTATATAGAGGAAGGTTTATTGAAGTGTAAACAGTTCAGGAGAACTAGGGTTATTTAAATATGTTTGTTGGGTGACTAGGAGGACTAGGTGTTTTGTTAATAGACAATTGTGTATAATAGTGTGAATAGTTGCATATCCTTTTTCTTTTCAACGTGCTCTTTATTTGTATGGAGAATTCTTGAGTTCTTGATTGTTATCTTAAGTTCTTCATTTTGTGTAGGTTGATTTGGATTTGGTAGTGTATACTATGTAGTCTTATAAAGCTTCCTCTCTGGGACACAGGACAGGATGGAGTCCCTACAGGTCCAAATTGATGACGAGAGTAACCAAGATGAGCCTGAAGTAGCAACTTGGACAGACGCTGAAGAAAAATGCTTTATTGATTTAATGATACATCAAGTGAAGGCAAACAATAGGCCTACTTCTACTTTTAACTCTGAAGGGTGGAAGTATATTGTGGAGAACTTCAACAAAATGAACAAAAAGAATTATAGTAGAGAGCAATTCAAAAATAAGTATCACCAACTAAGGAGAAGGCGTTCCAACTATTATACCATTGTGGGGTACCCAGGGGTGTCAATAGATCCTGTCACAAAGAAACCAATAGCAAATGTGGATGTTTGGGAGATGCTCTATGCGGTAAGGATTTTTAATAGTGTGAAATATGGTGAGATTGTCTTTACATTATGAGATGCTAACTTGATATAAAAACTAAATTGTAGAAGCACAAATTTTCCAGACAAATTAGGAAGAAGGGATGCCCATTTTTGGATGAGTTAGACTTTGTATTCTCAGGAATAAGCGGTAATGAAGATTTGCCAATTGGAAACAGTGAGAACCCTTCAAATGATGAAGTAAAGCATGTTCCAGAAACATCAGATCCTCATGGTACTTGGGCACAGAATACTGCTGCAATTGATGAGAATAAACTAATCGAGTCAGCAACTTGGACAAACGCTGAAGTAAAAAGTTTTATTGAGTTGATGGTGCATCAAGTAAAGGCAAACAACAGGCCAACTTCTACTTTTAACACTGATGGGTGGAAGTATATCATGGAAAATTTCAACAGAATCAACAAAAAAAATTACAATAAAGAGCAATTCAAAAATAAGTACCACCAACTAAAGACGACACATTCCAACTATTACACCATTGCAGGGCATGCAGGGGTGTCAATAGATCCTGTTACAAAGAAGCTAAAGGCAAGTACTGATGTCTGGGAGAGCCTCTATGCGGTAAGGACTTTAATGATGTGAAGTATATAGAAATTGCTTTTGCTATTATATGACACTAACCTTAAAAAATTAAAATTGCAGAAGTACAAATGGGCCAAAAAAATTAGGAAGAAGGGGTGCCCGTATTTGGATGAATTAGATTTCATATTCTTAGGAACAAATGCCAGTGGAGATTTTGCATTTGGAAACAATGAAGAYCCTTCAGATGATGAAATAAAACATGTTCCTGAAACTTTGGATCCTCGTGGTACTTGGACACAGAATACTAATGCAAATGAATCAGCTGCAGAGATTTCTCAGACAGACTTCATTGATGAGTCCAATGAGCGTCACACCAGGAAGAATAACCTTTTATCATTAATGAGGAAGTCCAAGAAACCCAGACAGTCCTCTAAGATGATGTTTGCCATGCAAGCATGGGCAGAGGCAAGCAAGAACAAATCTAAGTTGTATGAGATGCAGTTAGCTGAAATAAAGGAGGCTCGACGGCAGATGCAAGCACAAGTTGAGAAGAGAGACACTTCTGTTACCAAGTGTATGGAAGTAGTGAATGATATACATGCTCAGCATGGGCTTCGAATTCAACAAGTTAAGGCAGCAACTGAGTTGTTTGAAAAAGAACATTGGAGAGAGACATTCTTGGGCATGTCTAGGGACTTGCAGGTAGCATGGCTGCAGGACCTTCAGGGATAAGATGTGTCCCTAGCCCCTAAATGATTTAGAATTGTAGCCATTGGAAGTCTGTTGTTTTATGACCTCTAGATAGTTTGGAACTATAGTTTTCTTTTGTATTTATTTATTTTTTTCTCCTTTGGTCAGTTCCTGATAGACATATGTTTATCTATGTTCTTCTGTATGTCTGATAGTGGTTATAGTATCATTGATGTATAATAGATGGATGATACTGGGGTCAATTGGAACTTGAGGGGGCAAACTCTTCTTCTACCTGTGGGCATTTTTCTTTTATTGCCCAACGTGGGAGGATCACTAGTGGTAAGGTAGATCGGCTTCTTGATGATCAGAAACCAAACAATCAATTTTGGTATCATGGTCTTCAACAGATCAACTTGAAGAGCATCAAGTTCATCCGTGCAGCCAACACAACAAACATTTTACTACTTGCATGCTTTGGGTACAATTTGTAATGCTTCATGCTTTAGTTGTTAACTTTTATGTTATTGTTTATTAAGATTGTTGCTTAGGGCTCAACATCTATTTGTATTGAGATAATCTTAGTTAGTTAATCTATTAGTACTGAACCCTCCC